TGCTATGGATTCATTATTTTAAGATAGATTGGGACTGTGGAAGTATATTACAGTCCCTTTTGTCTACTTACAATATCCATTTCGTTGAAAAACTTAAAGGTTGAGAGAAATGTTGACTGATTTTAGCAGGCATAGGAATGGTCAAAATAACCTCTGACGTGGCCTATCAACCACAAAAAATGCTAGTTTCATTCAATTCATATTTTACATAAACAAGAATCTGGTTTCAACAGAAAAATTGAAAAAAAAAGGAAGATGTAAATAAATCTATCTAAAGGAGAAGAGTATTGAGAGTAAACAAATATAAGAGATAGTCTCAAGAATGAATTCTACTTCTTATCTTAGTAAACTCACTATATTGAAATAGAGTACATTCATAAAGAAACAAAATTACGAAAAGAAGCAAATCTCTGTTTACCAGGAAGTTTTTCTGCAACATGGACTGCATTTTCTCACTGTTTACAGCATGACTCAAATTGTTAAGAAGAACAAGTACTAGCCAAAATTATAGCTCATCTCTCTCTGTTTTCTTTTTTTAGTTTACTGTACTTTGTCATTGATTAAACCAACAAATAGACCTGGGCTGAGTTCTGAGAGAAATTCTTTCATGGACAGGAAAACCAGAGTGGTTGGCATTTCCCCTGCAGGATGTTAATTAGAGACTAAGTTCTCTCTCACCAGTAATGCATTTTGTATCATAGTGCTAAAAGAAAAATGAGAGAAGAAATTACTAATTAGTAAATTCACCAGACTTTTAGAAAGTTAGAAGTGCTGCCTAGAGGACATGATAACTAAACTTCTACTCACAAATCAGAAAAATAGAAAAACACATTTGCATGAGAAGTGCTTGATTCTTCTTTTATTTTCATGATTGACACAGAGCGGCATTCACGATTTTTCCTTTGAATGGATTACAACTTTTACTTTTAGAAACTCATTTCTTATTTTTACTGTAAATACATCATGCTTGTATTAAAGGAAAATTAATACAGGAAACAATCTAAATAGTCAATGGAAGAGTTGGAAAAAGAGCAGGATTTTGAAGTAACATAGGTACTAGCTAGAGCAGGCAGTCATCTCTCCACCTAGGATTTCAAGGCACGAGAAAAGGTGGTGTTAGAAGATCCCAGAAGGCTGAGAATTTCTTCAAGGATGAGAAGCACGGTGGGGCTTGCCTTGTAGGTGCTAGAAACAAATAGAGAAACAGCTCAAGAAGCACATTGAAAGTGAAAGAAATTCCCTCTCTGCATATGTCCTCAGTTCTGCCATTGTCATGTGAAAGCACCATAGACAATAGATCAATGAGTGAGGGAAACTGGACTTGGCCCACGGGCTACAGTGGGATGACCACTACTCTAGAATGTACAAGATTCCTCAACTAAAATATTGGGAAAGAAAGAATCCTACTTGAAAATTTTCAAGACTTCCCACAATCATTTTCTGTGCATTTCAAAATGTTCCTAGAGATCCTAGGTTATTGTGATAATATTTCCCTTCAGCTAGAAAAACTTTCTTTGGCATTTCTCAGAGTGCAAATTTGGCATAATGCCATCTCTTAGTTTTCCTTTAACTCAAAAGTTTCCTATTTTGCCTTCAATTCCAAAGTATAGTTTCCCTGGATGTAGCATTTTGATTGGTCTCCACTCCTATCTTAAGCACTTTAAAGATGTTGTTCCATTGTCTTCTAGTTTGAATTGTTTCTGACATAAAGTCTGGGCTCTAACTTGTATTTCTGTGTATATAACGTCGTTCTTTTTGCTCGTTGTGTCACCAATATTCTCTTTTTGACTCATTTTCAGAAAGTTTATTCTAACGTGCCTTCATTTGTTTTTGTTTTTTGGTTTTTTTTTGCATTTATCCTACTTGGATTTGTGAATCTTCCTGCATCTGTTTGTAGTTTGTAGTTATCATCAATTTTGAAAAAAACTTTGCCCGTTATAGTTTCTAACATTTTTCTGACCCCTCTTCTTCCAATTACATATGTAATATTTTCTCGGCTCTCACTGAATGTTCATTTTTTTCCTTTTTATCTCTATGCTTATGTTCTATTTGTTTCTATTGTTATGTATTCAAGTTTAAAATCTTTTCTTCTTGATGTTTCCTTTTTCTCAAATATTACTGTCATTCACTGCTTTTTGTCCCATATCTGAATATAGTTGGTTCACATATTTTCTCTAGAGTTTAGTTTTGGTTGTGGAAGACAAATCTTGCATAGTTATTCTTTCATGAGAAGATGTGGAAACATCTTAAATTCAATACTTTTTCAATATTAAATGACCTTTACATTTGCAGTATAAATACATACTTCAGTGACATTTTATTATTTCTTATATATTGAAGTATTTTATTTGTTAATATTCTGCTTAGAACTTTTGAAGTTAAATTTATGAGAGAAATTTATCTATAATTTTTTATTTTAATGCCTATATGAGACATGACAGACTGATAAATATAGTGAGGAAACATTTCCTTTGTGATTATTCCTGAAGGAGTTTAGGTAAGAATGGTCTTACCTTTTTAAACATTTGGAAGTAAACACTGGTGAAGCCATTTAAGTAAGGATCATACTTCTTGGGAGGATTATTAATAAAAATTTAATTTCCTTAATAGATATGTTAGAATTTATATTTCTCTTTATACATCATTTTGCTCTATTTAAAATAATTTTATTTTGAATCATCAATATTTCTTAAAAATATTGTTTACTACATTCCTTTTTTAATATCAGCAGGAGCTACAGTGATATCCCATTTTTCATTCTTGATGCTTGTGATTTAATATTGCTGGTTTATCTTTATTAAGTTGACTAGGAGCTTACTGATCTTTCTTACTAAAGTCTTACAAATCTTTCAAAGGATCCATGTTTAGTCATGTGAATAGTCTATATTGTTCATCTTTCTTTTTAACTTATTTTTATCTATATTATTTACCTCCTTTTATTTTTTTAATTCCCAAAGCCCCAGTACATAGTTGTGTATCTAGTTGTAAGTCACTACCTTCTTTTATTTTTTGTTCTGACTTGCTGTTTTCTATTTCGCGTTATTAAGACAGATGAATCTTATTGATGTTCCTGCTTTATAATCTTTACCCATAAGGCTTTGTATATCCCTCTAATACTTCTTTTTCTGCATCCCAGAAGTTTAGATATATCGTAATTTGTCATCATTTGGTGTGATTTCTTTTTTATCCAATGATTTTTAGGAAGCATTTATTTTTAGTGTCCATGCCCATAGAGTTTTCTAGTTATCTAATTGTTATTGATTTCCATACTAAGTTGAAGTGATCAAAGAACATTCACTGAATGTTTTCAACCTTTGAATTTGTTCAGGGTTTCTTTATGTCTCATCTGTTGTGAATGGTGGTGTTGCTCATGTATTTATAAGCAGTAGCGTGTTGTTATTGCTAATGCTGTGGTGGGAATTTTAAAGATGAGAAAAAGTATATTGGAATCTGGTACATTTTATAGATTAGATACCCAAGCTGCACCCCATGTGCTTTCTCATTGGAGACGTTGGAAAGTTAAAGTCTTCTGCTACTAAGTTTCTTGACACAGATTTTTTTCTATCAATTATAGCCATACAAACTCAGAATTTGGAAGGGGATCAACTTTTTGTTCCTTTTGACTTTTTCTACAAGTTAGGAAGGTTGTGACTGTAGGTGGGCTTTTTTTTCTGCAGTATTTTTGAGTATTTCTAGAGAAACTATTTTGATGAATGAGGAAGCAGTGACATCGTTTTGTGTCTTCATTTTTGATCCCTGGATCAGAGTTATGGTGCTGTATTTTTAAAATCATACCTCCAATGGTAGCCCTCTTTGTGAATTAATCCTATATTGCTCTAAGGGTCATTACAAGAGTGTCACCCAGAAGTTTCTCTAGCCTTTCCAAATTTGATAGGTCTCAGTTCACCTTAATGAATAACTTCCTGTTTAAAATACCTAAAGCACTTTGTCTTCCTATACTGATCAAATTTTTACTAATATTGTATTATACTAAGGAGAAGCTCTACCACCATATCATTTTGCTATATCTAGATGAAAAAAACTCCAGAAACATTACAGAAATAATTTTTAATTAAAAGTGGGAGTTTCTTGGGGCTGGCCTGGTGGCACAGCGGTTAAGTTTGCATGTTCCACTTCTCGGCAGCCCAGGGTTCGTCAGTTCGGATCCCGGGTGCGGACATGGCACCGCTTGGCAAAAGCCATGCTGTGGGAGGCGTCCCACATATAAAGTAGAGGAAGATGGGCATGGATGTTAGCTCAGGGCCAGTCTTCCTCAGCAAAAAGAGGAGGATTGAAGGCAGATGTTAGCTCAAGCCTAATCTTCCTAAAAAAGAAAAAAGAGAGAGAGAGTTTCTAAAAGTAGAATTACAATTAACTTCTGGAAATACTTAGGAAAAAATGGCATCCCTGTAATATTAGGCTCATTAATAGGGTATTATATCTCTTATATGACTGTAGTCACATAATAATTTTTAAGGAATTCTTAAATATAGGTCTTGATCTCATAAATATTTTTACTAAGGATTTTTCTAAAATTTTATTGAATGCTATTACTTCCCCCATTTTATTTTCTAACTGTTTATTATTTAAATACAGGAAAGCAAAGAATTAGCAAAACTTTATCTGACTGAGTTTGTGATTTTGAGAGCATTTGTCTTGTCATGAAATATGTCTGCATCAAGAAATACAGGCAAATCATAATTTGGACTGAATTTTTGTCTTTTTTAAATTCATAGCAAATGTAATTTGCTACGTAATTTAAAATATTCATCTAAAACCTCTCTCATAGTGTACACACTTTTCAATCTGTTTCTCTATGCCTATCAGTATGTCTGCTGTGATAATTAGCAGAAAGTTTTTCTTTGTCAACGGAGAAAATAAGGTCAAGAGAAACTTCCAAAAAGATACAACCAGAGAAGAAAAAGGTCCTTGTTTTTGGACTATTATTAGACTATTTGTCTGTATCTGAGTTACTGCAGTCCTCCTGGACAACAGCCATGGAGCCTGCACTTACGTCTCCATAATTGACTTTATGGTTACTCTTCTCCCAATGGGATCTTTCACAGAAGATGAGCAAAACCTCAGTGCTGAAATATACTGAAAAAAGATTTCACAGGAATAAAAACGACTAAGACCATCATAAAGAACCACTGCTGATACTGTACCAGATGATCATGGACTCTGGAGGACACAAGGTTGGTATGCTCCTTCAGTATCCATGGTTATCCCACTATCTTTATTTCAAGATGTATAAAGTATATGAGAATTCAGGAGAGAAGCTTCCTTCTCTCCGTATTCCTTATCCTGATTGAAGCGTGAGGTCCCTTGAATTGATGTAGCTTTGAAGAAAGTCATTTACTGCAGTGTAAGGATTGGAATGTTCACCAGCTTCTCTCTCTGCTTCAAGAAAAGGCGAAAGGGTTAAGACATTTTTCACTTAAGCAACTACTGATGGAAATGAAATATTTGTAGTAAAAAATTTGAAATATATGTAATGAGGCAATAGAATGCGTTTATTTGGGGGAATAGTCTTGATCTGAGAAAATAAATGTATATTTGGAAATAGCTTTTGAGTATTTTATTTTATCCATGCTTAGTGATTTTGATGTTATTAATTTTAACATACCAATAACTTATCTACTTTTATTTTATTCTCAAAGATGGTTACAGTGATAACAGAAACTAAATAGACTGAGGTAAAATTATTTTAAATATATTTGTTACTGTCACATAATGATTCAAACACTGACTTGGCTAACACAATTGCTGTAAACACTATCACAGAGATTATAAGTAATACTTCTATTTTGTCTTACACGTAATATATATTTTGGATAAAGATCATTCTAAAACTATAAATACATTGAGGAAAGAAATTCAGAATGGGAGTAAAACTAGACAATAAAACATGCTATATTTTGGCTAAACTCCCTGCAAACGTATGATTCAAATATAATAAAATAACTTCCCTTACTACTTAATAGAATAAGTCTCAGAAGTTTAGTGTTATCTAGTCCAAATTCTTGATTCTTCATGACATTAAAATTGCTTTATGTGCAATATTTAATTGTTACAAGCAATGTATTTCTATATTTAAGAGAGTATTTATGTCATTAGAATCAAAGCCAAGATTTCATTGATTTGCCTTTTGCTTCTCAGCAGGTTTCTGCTATGGGTGACAGGAGAACAAGCAATCACTCAGAAGGGACCGACTTCACTCTTGTAGGCTTCACGGTCCGCCCAGAGCTCCACATCTTCCTCTTCCTGCTATTTCTGCTCGTCTATGCCATGATCCTTCTAGGGAATGTTGGGATGATGGCCATTATAATGACTGATCCCCGGCTGAACACACCAATGTATTTCTTCCTAGGCAACCTCTCCTTCATTGATCTCTTCTACTCATCTGTTATTGCACCCAAGGCTATGATCAACTTCTGGTCTGAGAGCAAGTCCATCTCCTTTGCAGGCTGTGTGACCCAGCTCTTTCTCTTTACCCTCTTCATTGTAACTGAGGGATTTCTTCTGGCAGCCATGGCTTATGACCGCTTTGTTGCCATCTGCAACCCACTCCTCTACTCTGTTCGGATGTCAACACGTCTCTGCACTCAGTTGGTGGCTGGTTCCTATTTTTGTGGCTGCGTTGATGGAGTTCTTCTGAGCAGCATGACATTTACTTTACCTTTTTGTGCTTCTCGGGCCATCAACCACTTTTACTGTGATTACCGTCCAGTTCAGAGGATTTCTTGTTCTGATCTCTACATTCATAAGATCCTTTCTTTTGTCTTATGTAGCATTATTATTTTGCCTACCATAACTGTCATTATTGTGTCCTATATGTATATTGTGTCCACAGTGCTAAAAATACGCTCCACTGAGGGACGTAAGAAAGCCTTCTCCACATGCAGCTCTCACCTAGGAGTTGTGAGTATACTGTATGGTGCTGTCACCTTTATGTATTTTATCCCTGACAGATTTCCTGAGCTCAGTAAGGTGGCCTCCTTATGTTACACCTTAGTCACTCCCATGTTGAATCCTCTGATTTACTCTCTGAGAAATAAAGATGTCAAAGAAGCTCTGAGAATGGTCCTGGGGAAAAAAAATGTTTTTGCTTGATTCTATTTTAACATTATATAACTGAAAGACCTGGGCATTATGACAATTTGGGGAAGCACTCACACCAAGAATGCAACAGTCATCTTAGAAATATTTAATCTTAGCAAGTTTATCTCTTTGAATTCCATGTACTTAGAGAGGAAGAATACATTTGGATTATATTTTGTGAGCTATTGATTATAAAGTAGAATGGCTTCTCTATACTTCATTTTGGATAATGACAATGATTGCTGTGTCATTTGTTTTTAAGAAAGATGAATTCCAAATTTTCTCCTGGCTCTTTGAAGATGCTCTTTGGCATGTCTTATTTATCTTGAGGGAATAAGATATGTTATGTGCTTATTGTGCTTATGTATATAATTGGTAGAGGAAACAAAATCTGGTTGATACAATAAGCAGACAGAACAAAATATCAAATTTACTGAAGAAATCTTTTTGAGTGCTTAGTGAGAAAACCAGATACTCTGCGGTGCACAGTGTCCTAAGGATGACATGTGAGTCACTCTTAATAGTCCAGAGGCTGAATGAGTGACACAGTCATTTCACGGTTTCTCTGAATTGGATAAGTTACTCTTGAAAACTCTCTCTTTTTATAAGGAAACTCTAATGAAAATAAACCAAAAGTAAATGTAATTCATTTTTTTTTAAAGATTTTATTTTTTTCCTTTTTCTCCCCAAAGCCCCCCGGTACATAGTTGTATATTCTTCATTGTGAGTCCTTCTAGTTGTGGTATGTGGGACGCTGCCTCAGCGTGGTTTGGTGAGCAGTGCCATGTCCGCGCCCAGGATTCGAACCAACGAAACACTGAGCTACCTGCAGCGGAGTGCGCGAACTTAACCACTCAGCCACGGGGCCAGCCCCCTGTAATTCATTTTTTATTATATATGCCTTTGTGAGAATAAATTCACCAAATTTATATTTATTGAATTTTGATGCACTCTTTGCCCTATGAAAATGCCTAGGTATAAATAATTTCTGTTCTTAAGCTCACAATCAAAAGAAGGGAAAATAGCTGGATAGAAATCTAAACATTCCCATGGTAAACCCGGTGAAAACACACATATATCAAACACAAAGGACGTAGAGCCTCTAGAGTGAGAGGTCTTATATGGCAGGGAACACTTCCTAAGCACATTTGTTAAAGCATAGAGTTGAGCAAGAAGAAATAGACAGGGTTCTGTGCAAAGGGAAATAAATAACCATATAGTGAACTGTGTGAAGTTTAATAAGTGATTTTTAAAGCACAAGATAGGGAATAAGAGGTGAGACTTAAATGGAAATCATGCAGATGTAAATGACAAGCCAAGGAAGATGCCGTTTATTCTGTAGCCTGAGGGTAAGCACTGGAGATTTTTAAGAAACGTGGTATTGTATTCAAATTGGCCTTTTACAAAAATCACACTGATAGCTTTGTGGAAGATAAATATTCACAGGGAGAAGGTAGTCAGAACAGAAAGCGTGCGGTCATCCAAGTAAGAGCTTATGGTGGCTTTAACAAAGGCAGTCATATTAGAGATAGTGAAGAGAGGGATTGTCTTTAAAATGGCAGGTACACTCAGCTGAATATTGATTGATGGTTGATAAAATAAGAATGAGGTAGAAGTGAATAATGGCTTCTAATGTTTGTGCTTCTCTGACTTGGGAAATGCTACCTCAAAAAATGAGGAGGAAAATATAAGTGTTAAGAGTTAATTGTTAACTTAGTTAAGAAAATAAGCTCGGGAGTGAGACTGATCTTTCAAATTCTGTTTCTTCCTCTGCAACTTTAGGCAGGTTACATAATGTCTCTGCATTTTTTTATTTCCTTATGTAAAATGGGGTGCATAATAGTATCTACATCTTAGAGTTACTTGCAGGATTAAATTATACAAATTTCAAATAGATTCATTAAATCTATATATTTCACTGCTACATTTGTTCTTTCCTCAGGCCCTTATGTAACCGAAAGTTTGGTATCTGAACCCGACGCCAATCCAAATAACGAGAACAGAGTCTTGAGTGGAGAGGAAAGGTTTTTACTATGCCAGGCACAGGGAGCAAAGCAAGGGCTCATGCCTCAAAAATTGCTAGCTCCCCGATGAGGAACAGGTAGGGATTTTTATTTGGGGTTTTGTGTAGGGGAGGGGGCGCATGTAGCTTGTGCAGCTCGGGGCTTTTCCACCAGCCTGCATTTGGCCTTGAGAGGCTGCTTGCAGCCAGGCGGGGGGATGGTGAGATAGGAGGATGGCAGGTGGGCGTCCTTTGCCCTTTTGTCTCGTCTTCCTGTTTGAGGCGGGTTTGAGCACCGGGAGTGAGGAGTTGAGGTCTGGGAAGCCTCTGCTCCTTGATATTCTTGAGACAGCAGCTTCCCTGGCAAAGTTCAAAGACACATGATCAGCTAAACTTTAGTATGTCTCCAACTCCAGGCCACCTGGGCTTTTAACAATTTGTAACTCCCATTTAGTTGTAAAGCTCAAGGAGTCCAAGTTTAAAGAAACAGGTATTTGCATGTGAGTGGAGCTAGAGAAGCAGGAAAGAGGGTGGCGGGTTTTAGTTTTAACCCCATATACGCTGGGTTCAGTGTGGGGGAACTGATATCAGGGCTGATGTTAAGAGCCTGTCACACTTAGAACTATGTCATGTTAAGTCTCGGAGAGGAAGACAATAATTTTTTCTGCCTCTCTCCTTTACTCTCTACCATGGAGCATACCTAATTCTCCAAGTTGACCTATGTTTTAATTTCCATAGACAGATCTTGAGAAACTGCTTAGTTATTTCAGTGTTTACCTTTCTTTCTGCTGACGACTAATATAAAAGACTTAAAAAATGACAATTAAAAATGAACAGAGCCGCCAATTAGATGCAAAATAGTATCTTATCAAATACTACAGCTATTTATCTCTCTATCCATGTCTTTCTTTAAGAATTCTCTCTTATACTACAGCAAGTGTCTCCTATTTCACCTACATTTTAAAATACAGATAACTGGGGAAAATAGAGGACTCACTAGGTGGAAAACCTTTATGAATATTTTTGGGTTCAGTGGTCACTTTGCTAAAGTGGCATCTTGTGTTTCTCCTGAGATGAAGTAGAGAGATTTTTGGGTTCAAAGAGGCGTATTTTACCAGCCCTCCTCTGGGAGTACAATGCAGAATCCTTCAGGAAGCACTCTGAGTCCTATAATGGCGCACGCCTGCAATGAAAGAGGCTCCTGATTCCTTATAATTCCAGCTCTCCTAAGGCCCAGACACAGGGTCCTTGTCCGGCGGATATCAGTAATCTGATATTAAACTGAGAAAGAAATCATAACAATGGTTGACTGTCAAAGGAGAAGAATGTTCCTCTCTATTCACTGTGTCTGTACCACCTGCCAACCATCAGCAGATCCCAAACATACACATAAATACAAACATAGCAATAGTCTCTCTTTCCCTCTCTCTCTCTTTTGCAGACACATGCACACACACACACACACACATACCAGGACACCTTTGAGAAAACACCAATAATTGATTCTCCTCCTATGTGTCGAATATCGTAGGCTGGCTCAGAAAAGAATCTTCAGGCTGAGGTAGAGGCTAATGACCCCACCAGCAGAGTATTTGCATAGTATTTTTCAGTGCTGACCTTTATCCTTCCTTTCCTGATGTCAAGCAATTGCTGACATTACTACATGAATTAAATCAGGTCTATTCTATTTTTTGGAACTTACCCTTCTTATTTTACTTTTGACTCAAGGACAATGGATGTGCTGTAGGGTAAGTTCTGGAAACAAAAGTGAGATTGAAAAATAATAATAAATGATTACCGTGTTAATACAATTGATCAAAATATCATTAATGCATACATACATATACGTATATGTGTGATTCTCTAAATATGATATATGTATTATAAGACTATGTATAAAATAATCAAAGTTGTAGTACAAGTCACATACAAAATCATTTTAATAATATCTAGTGATTTTTTTTGATTTAGTAATTACTGGGCATTTTTTTGAAGCATCATTTTTAGCACCCAAATAGCAATCTCATCTAAAACATATTCAAACTCATCTAGTGACTTCCCATTAAATTTATAATTATAGCTGATGGTGGTGTCAATAACTAGTAAAGTTTTCCTAACTTGAATGATAGTGTTTATGGTTGTGAATCCTCACTCACTTTCTGCTCCACTGACAATAATTTTATTAAAAGCTTTTAGCCTACTTTTAGCATTGAGATTTTTTATATTATAAATATCTTCCATTGTCTTGAGTAGTTTCCTGTTCTTTAGGTTAAAATTAAATCTTCAGTTCAAAAAACGGAGACTTCTGTCATGGGTCTAAAATGCTAGTCCTAGGATCTGAAAAAGCAGCTCTGCTCATGATTATTTTTATTTATCTATTTATTTATTTGTGAGGAAGATTGGCTCTGAGCTACATCTGATGTCAATCTTCCTCATTTTCTTTTTTTTGGCTTGAGGAAGATTTTCCTGAGCTAACATCTTCCTCAGTCCTCCTCCACTTTGCATATGGGATGCTGCCACATCACGGCCTGATGGGTGGCATGTGGGCCCTTGCCCAGGAACCATGAACCTGGGGCCCTAGAAGCAGAGTATGCAAACTTAACCACTATGCCACTGGGGTGGCCCTGCATTATTTTTTCATAAAGGTTTTATTGAGCAATAAGTAGTGTGAAATGAACTTTATTCATTCAGAGTGTACCTTTCTGTGAGTTTTGACAGTTTTATACATCAGTGAAACCATCACCACATGAAGCTACAGAACATTTCCATCACCTCCAAAAGATTTATCCTGCCCCTGTTTTAGTCCATACTTCCTTCCAAATCCATTCCCAAATAACCAGTAATCTGATTATTTTTGTACATATATATGTAGATGAACACACACACACACACACAGTATGTACTCCTTTGTGTCAAGATTTACACAAAGTAAAATGATTTTAGGATTCATTCATTTTGTCATGTGTGTAAGTAATTCATTCTTTTTATTGCTGAGTAGCATTCCTTTTTCCATTGTACACATATACCAAATTTTGCTTATACAATCTTAAATTGATGGGCAATTGAGGTATTTTCAGTTCTTAGGTATCGTGAATAAACCCGATGTGAATATTCACATACATGTATTTGAGCCAAGATCCACTCTGTCCCTCCTCTCTCTCAGCCTAGCATATCAGAAAATTTACTTGTTCAGGCAAGTGTAGACAAGTTGTAGGGATTTCTCTCCTTCCAAATCCTAGTCAAAGCTACCATGTCACCTTGAGAGTAGCAGAATGCAAACATTTCTTATGCCCTGTAGATCCATGTTGCAGAATCTCTATTCAAGGCAACAGTGGCTAAAATGTCTGGAGTTCTCTTCCTCTACCCAGCCCCATTCATAGGTAGAAGTTTTATCCCAGGCATGATAGGCTGAAAATAATGGGGCCCCAATTTCAGTTGTCCCAGTTCAAATGATAGATGTTCATTCCAAGAGGGACAAACTTAGAGGACCCTAGGCTACCGATCTCACCCAGAAACCTGCCCATAAGGCACGATTGTCACACTAAGATAACTGGCCCACTGTCCATGCTCCAAGTCCAGAACAGTTGACACAGGTCTTACCTAGCCTGAAAGGCAGGCCATAATAACAGAGGACTCCAAAGCTCTCCT